TGTTTCGTTTTACCATTGGAAGAGTGTAAAATTATCTTTATATTATGTTTTTAAATTTTGCGTATGTTTAAACTATTGTAATAATATATATTTCAATTCTGAAAACTTACTTACAATAACTTCCTTAAGTCTGCCAAGTTTATTTTCTTTATTTTGTTTAAAAAATATATACATATATTTATTAATTTAAAAACTTTTTATTTTATAAAAAGCAGTATGAATAGTATGATATTATTATCGTTAATTTTAAACAATGGTTACAAACATTTAAATAATAAAATTGTATTTTATTAATGTAATATGCTCGTTTATTTATTTAAAAATTACTAACATAGTTATTATATAATGTAATTATGAATATCCTCATATATTTTTATGAATACAATAATTGCATCATAATCATAATTTATTGGTAAAAAATATTTAAATTCAAAGTTTAGAATCATGTAACCATAATATTATATTGTATCATCCAATAACCTTGTTTTTGATGTCAAAAATATGTATTCTATAATATTATTTAAAATCATTAATATATATACCTATGTAAATTAATAGTATATACCTAAGTTTATATTACTATTTTTATACAAACTTGACTGTAAAAATTATCGATGGTGTCTTGAAATGTTGTGTTATAAGAATTTGTTATTCAAAGTTAGTTTTAATATTGAAATGAACTATTGTATGATCATCCTTAATTTTTATTTATTAGACTTTATGGTATAAAATAAAAAACAGTATCATACCACTCGACTAATACAAAAAGAAGTAATATTGCAAACAAAAATAATGGAAATCAAATGTTAATATTTTATACTGTCACTCAAATGTTGCAATAAAAGGTGTACCTATTTAAGTAATTAAATAATATACCTACTATATTATTATAATGCATACCTATATTTATTCAATATTTCAATAGTATTTAAATGTATATAAATATATTTTTATGTTAAAATTTTAAAATTATTATTATTTGTTTTGTTCAGTTGTATAGGTGAGAAGTTTTGACAAGCTAATAAAGCTATAACACAGTTGCAATAATTATCTTACTTATTTTATAGTTCATTCGATCTCTTGTGTAGTTGTGTATATCTCTATTTTATTCATACAATAGTCTATATAAGGTATTCGTAGTCTCCTCGTGTATGCGATATTAAAATATTAAATAATAATATAAAGAAGATAATTTTTCACTGGAACAATAATAATATTCTCTGGAAGTTGCGCTTAATCATTTACAGTCATATGTGCACAATCGTAAAAAATATATATAATGCGTTATTATTATTTTTTTTTTAATAATGTGTTAATATATAGCTGGTTTTAATTAAATTTTAATGCATAATATGTTGATACGTCCGAGTAGTAGGTGGTTCGAAAGAGCAGAAGTAATGGTGACGTGACTCAACGCACTAACATTAACCACACTTTTCAGTTTTGTTCTAAATAGTGTTTGTTTTGACAAAAAGTTTTTATTTCTCATTTGAACAATTTTTTCAAAATAGATATCTGTGATCATATAATATATTTTCTACATCATCGCCTTTTTAGTCAAAACAATATAAAAACACTCATAACTATATTTTATTCCTTGTTTCCACAACGATTGAACATTATTTAATACAAAGATCAGTTAACTAATTATAATTATGCACGTTTTTACCACACTTTTTTAAATTAACGTAATTATGGAGGGATATTCTTGTAAGATTACAATTTATGCATTTTTTGTATATATTTGTAATTATTACTATTTTATATATACAGTCATTTAATCACATTTAATGAAATCATTTATTTATAATAAAATATTTTAGTAGATTTTAGATTAGTCCTAAAATATTTAATGGGAGAAACTTTAAAAATACTTAAAATTGCATGTGATTCGTACAAGGATTCAATCAAAATATTAAAATTTATTATTTTCTGGGACTCGCAAAAAAAAACTGAGAAGTGGAACAAGTTGTATTCGTTATATATTCACATCTTTAAAATAATTACTATCGAGACGTCAATCATTATACAATTATTTAATTCAATTATTTTTAGTTCTATATTTCATTTGAGGTATGTATTTATACAGTTTAAACATTAAAAAGTAAAAAAATTAAAGTTGTTGGCTTGACATAATTCGGACATGTATTTTGAAATGAAAACTTTGGTGATTAATTATTGTATTTAAAAATATGTGTATAATTAAAATTTTTGTACCTATTTAAAATCTATTAATATAAATAAGTTTTAACAATAATAATTAATAAGTTTAAAAATTCTTATTTATTTATTCGTGTAATGATAATTATTAATAAAGCTTGTAAAAAACAGTGAAAAGTATTAACTCAAATAATACTGCATCAGATTTATTTTTATACAATACATACAATTTATAACATAAGCTAGTTTTTGAAACAATTTAATATAGAAATACTCTTTGAATTTTATGAAGTTCATGAAAAATTATTCATATGATAATGTAACGTCATCTTATCATATTTTACTTTTTTTGTTCAAAAATATATTACTTAGGTGAAAAAGTTTTTAAACCTAAAAATGTTCATTAAAATATTATTATGATTCGATTGACACTTTCAAAAAAGAAAAAAAAATTATTTAAAATACTGTGGTATCACAAATTATATAAAAAACTAGATGGTGCACTTCTGCATTTACAGGTAACCATGAACTCAAACCTAAATAATAAAATTAATATGTAATTAAATTAAATTTCGAAAACACCTTAATGCAGTAGGATTACATATGAGGAATAAACTATTGTTAAAAATCTTTACTTTAATTGTTGTATCATACGTATAAAGACAATGGTTAGGAATTTGGCGCGAATGCTAAATATCAGTGAAAAATCAATAATTTCTCATAAAAACTGTTTTACCTTATTATTAGTGGTGATAATGATTTAGGATAGGTTTTGATTTGCTTAAATTATTGAGAATTACATGGATTGAATAGGAATTGAACCATATACCTTATACTAATAGATGATGAATGTGTGTATCGTGTATGGAAAGCGGCAGAAGATAGAGGGAGCTTTTTGATTTCTCGATTACTTGTACGCACGGTAGTGCGGTACCGTGTGCATACTAGGTTTATATTTTATTGTCCATACCAAATTGACAGGTTAGGTACGCGAACGATATGTGTTCAATCTAAACCTGAGCTCCACAATAATTATTGTAAATATACACGCCTGTCGTCCAAAACAGCTTACATCACTGTGAGATGTTTACTGCAACTCGTAATGTTATTGCTATGCACATTTTACTCGTCTAGTAGTATTAAGCCTATGGCCAGGACCATCTGGTTTTATATTATAATCTGTGGTGATATGTTGTTTCTTAAACATGTTGTATAATATAATATTATTTTGGTTTACCAATTAAAGTTACGCTAGGTGAAAATTCGATTTTGTGAATATCACCGACAAAAAGTGAATGTTAAGCGAGTAAGTAAGCTTGGATAAAGTGAAACTTCTTTACAGAGGGTACGAAAAAAAAATTTATCGCCCGTCATGGTCAGTCACCGACGAATATAAGGTTTGTATTAGAATAAAATAAAAAAATAAAATCTTCAATTGAAATTAATTTATTAATTTTATTATATAAAGATAAGACAAAGATTATTATTTATTACCATAGAAACCATAGGCGTGACGTCTGACCGTGACGAATTAATTCTATTTTTTTCGTACCCTCTGTAAAGAAGGTTCACTTCAAAAATTGTATTCATTTTCAAGAAAACTGGACAACCAATAAATTCTCATTTAATATTTTTTACCAAATTATGAAAATTGCATTTAAATTAACACAATTCAAAACAGTTTCTTGGTGTAAGCAATGAGGTTTCCTTTACTGGTGAAGTATATTACGTCTAAACTTTAATAACGAAATGAAATACATCATTCAGATACCTATTCGCATAATATCATTAATATATAATTCACCAGCCTAATCAAGAACTAAAAATCTTATATTTTTTTTTTGTTTGTTAACACCGTATTTAATACGAATTAATTTACATGCATTTTGTGATTAGATACTTATTTAAGTTATAACATTTCGTGCCTATGAAATATTTCCACACAATACCTATGTAAACTTATTATTATTATTAATATTGCGTATTCTTTGACATTTTCGTGGGTTTTACCGGGGAAAAACCGGTCCCGGCCGACAATCGCAAGCGACCTACCACGGCCGTATTATTCTTGGCGGGCACTCGCCGCTCCGTCTCCCAAAGACGAACGACCGCAACCGCGGTATATAATACACGTCAACCCATTCGACAGTCACCGCCATCGTCGTCGGGCTCTTATATTATATAATATGAGCACACACGCACACACACACACACACACGCGCGCGCGCGCGCGCGCGCATTCATATCATACATGTATAATATGATAATAAGTCCCGAGGGTCGTTTGCGATTTGTCACGAATCAAAGTCGTCTCCACCACGGCGGCGGTGTCGCGCATACATAAATCACACTAATGCCACCTCGACGATGCATTGGTTCAGTGTGCGCGTACATACCCGCCGCCACCGCCGTTTTACCGCCATAGACTTTCTTTGACGGATCTACAACAAGTGTTGTGCGCTTAAGCACAGGTATACGCAGCTATTAATCAGGGACAGCCTATTGTGGGCATAATGTTCGGCTGACGGTTAACCTCGTTGGGGACGAGTGCATCATAAGCATTATTCACCGGGCCACCGAACGGAGGCGATATATCTCCGACGACTACCCCTACCTACCTACTATTATTATGCACGTAGATGTTATACTATATGTGTATTATAGGTCGGGTGTCGCCAGCACGCGTGTGCCATCCCCACCCCCGCGCCACCGTCACTCCGACGGTCGTGCGGAATAGATTTTTTTTTTGTTTTGTTCTCCAAACCGATCGTTTGACGTATTTTGTTTGTGGTTTTTTTTCTACGTCATTTAACAGAGCTTTTTTTAAATATGTTTTATAGGTGGCTTGGTTGCGGGTGGACACGCAGACCATACTAACCATCCACAACCACGTGATCACGAAAAACCACCGGATCGGTGTGTCGCACTCGGACCACAGGACGTGGCACATACACATCAAGGAGGTGAGAGAGTCGGACAAGGGATGGTATATGTGTCAGATAAATACTGACCCGATGAAAAGTCAACTGGGCTTCTTAGATATCGTCGGTGAGTAGTATACTATATCGCTTATTAACGTAGTGGTGTAATTGTAGCATAGGTTCAAATAAGGGACACATACTTCAATAGTCCCCCAAACATTATGTAATTTTTTTTTTAAGTTTATTCAATATTATTATAGTAGGAATTCAGCCCCCTTCCCCCAAAAATCGAACCTTACAGTTGCACATATGAATAGTACTCGGCGTGTATATTATGTGCAATATTATGTAGAATTATCAGAATTTTACGTGTCAGAGATTTATGTTTATATCTTATATGAGACAATTAGCGTATCGGAAAATTGTTATCACCCTATACTCAGTATAATGTAGTATTTGTGTTTCTTTTTACGGTTCCCGCGGCGATACCATGAGCATCGGGTATCGGGTAATACAACCGTTGCCGGAAAAACACCCGATGCCCATGTTATGTATACCTATAAAGAGCTTCGGTGGGCCCTGCTCAACTTTAGATATATATGCGTAAGTACGTATTTACAGCCAACGGTTTTTATTTACTACTCGTTTTCCGCAGTTACAAAATATACTTTCTAGTCTGAAATAATTTCGTTTCGCTTTTATTTCATCCAATATTACTCAGTTTTACAGTCGGGGGTTATATTATATTATGTTCTTTGCTTCCAAAGTTACGTATAAATAAACAACACATTTGAAAATAAATGATAGTGTATAGTAGTGTATAGTCACACGGAAAATGAAGAAACATTTTAGTAAAGTCCATTTAATTAACGAAAACTAAGCATTTATAATAATTTTAATTAAAATAAATATTTATATTTTATAACTCCACTGAACTTCCAAACCACAAATGCCACTTACAATTAAGGAATTCGATCTAAAATTGATGTATAGTGAAGTATTATATGTAAGACAAAAAAACCTTTAGTCAGAGATCAAAAAATCAATTGTTTTGGGTTTTTTTTTTTTGGAATGCTTTATTATATATTGTATTTGTTTAGATCAGTATCTTAAGTATTTGTAGACAATAACAACGCAATCACATCGTACAGATGTATCTACCTACTATTGTGCATAAACCTGATTTGTAATATATGATTATTTGACTTGTTAAGTATTTAAATATACATATTTTTTATTTAAAATACATTAAAAAAATATATTTATATAAATCACATCTATTTACATAAATTAGTGAATCGACTATGCCTCTATTTTACAGTATATTTCAAACATCATACAAAAAAGTAAAAATTTAAAAAAAGCTACTTAACGGCTAACACTTAAGAATTTTTAAATATTAATTTGGAATACATTTCAATAGTATTGTATTTAACAAGTTTTAAAATATCACCTCGTGCATAATCAATAATATAATATTTTATATTATTGTTTATATTCTATGTAAATAATATTTTTGGTTCGTTATTATTGTACACCTAGTTGTATTTATATTAAAATTAAGATTATCCAAAAAAGTGTTATCGGTATAGGTGTTCATTATAATATTTATACTATTGAATGAACAGTGATGGCTATGATATAGGATGATAAAGTGACTGTCGGTGTTCTAAAAATGACACTTGTTGTGAGGCAATCGTCGTGATTCGTCGGCGTAATTTATTATACGGTGATCGTCTCGGCATTCCATCGGTCGTCTCCAATGTTACCCTGTACAATGTATTTATGTATATATTATTATATTAACGTCTCATCGTCGGTGTGCATACGCTTAGTAATTAAAATTACTTCCGGTCTGCTTTCCGCCGACGCCGCCACCATTACTAAAGGGATGTAATATAATCATATAATATTATATACGATAATATTATTATAACACGGTCTCGTTTCTTCATCGCTATCGGAGCACACTTGTTGCCCCTCGCTCCCCATCTAAATATTGGTTGATAATTTTATATAACAATATTATGTATGTATATATATAACGTGTATATTACTATCATTTTTGGATTTTCGAATTTGCGATCGGAAATACCTATAGAGATTTCGACAACGGCGGTACGTATGGGATGCACCGAGTTCTATAGCAGCGGCAGTGGACCACGCTCACCATCCGTTTGCAAAGGACTTAAAAGCCAATCTGTGTCCCCTCACTCCCTCCTCTCACATAAACCGCATGCACCCTATCTCCACGTTGGTCCAATCCCACAATGTATATATAAATATGTGTGTGTGTGTGTGTGTGTGTGTGTGTGTGTGTGTGTGTGTGTTTGTGTGTGTATGAGTGTGTATATATACAACTGTATGAGCATCCTCTGCTAGGGGGGTCCACGAGCTTTTGACTTTGGCAAGGGTATATGCGTGCGTGTACCCGAGAGGGGTCTTATATTGGCTGCCGCCTATGCACACATATATACACTGTATATATTTACCTCCACCCGGTCACCGTTACCGTTTCACACACTTCGTACACCCACAACCACCTTCCCTATCACGATCCCACGCATCTACCCATCCCACCGCAAAACTGCCATCCGAGTATACAGTCCCCGTTAAATGGGTCAGAGGGCTCTTTGCGGAAAACCACAATGCCTCTCATTTGCATCTTATTGGGTGACTCAACGGTGTGTGTGTGTGTGTGTCTACAGTTGAACAGGACACAATAATATTATACATTGGTTAGGGGACGGGGAGGGATCGAGGAGTTCATCGAGAGTTTACGCACTGCAGCCGCGTGGCTTAATTACGACTTGTAACCCTCTCGCACACGCCAACGCACACACTTATACTCAAGAGGAGGTATCGTTTATTCATTTATAACGCTCCGTCGGCCCCGTCGCCGCCGTAGAGTGGACCTATACGGCAATACGGTCATTTATATTGTTACGTTTATCTACGTGTATGTGTGTGTGTGTGTGTGTGTGTGTGTGTAATGTTTGTTTTAATAGACTTGTCGTTTATATTTGTATGTTATAAGTACACTGTGATACAACATCGATACGGAATTCAATACGTTTTTAATAAAGAGAGACTGTCGACAGATCAATGCTACCGTTACACTGTACCTACCCATAAGGCCATAAAATAATTCATATAGTTTATTCACACTTCAAACAGACACTCGTTTTATTTCACACTCGAATTAAAATGTCTGGCAACGTGTCAAGGTCAAGCCTAAAGTCACAAATGTATACCTAATTTATAACTTAGTAGGTATAGTCTTTGATATGGTTATAATATGATACAAAATTTATCTTTGCTTTGTTTCTTATAAAAAAAAAAAAGATGATTATACTCAATGCTTCAATAACCAGATGCGTAATGCATGCATAACATATAGCTGACATTCTTTTCTCGTATTCTTTCTAGTGAACCATTTTTAAAAATTTATTTTAGACTAGTTTTCTTGGTTTTGTTGACTTTGATGACTAAAGTTCTTCAGTAAATTCAGTTATTTAAGCTATTATGTTTATTTATTTATTTATTTAGTCTTATATTACCCTACAATATTTCTTACGTCATCCATTTTATAAATATAATAATGTAACTGGAATTCAGCTGATAAATATGTATCGTGTTATACTATTTTAGTTTTTGTAATTAACAGCAATTTAAAAATACTGTTTACTGAGAAATGTATTTATACTTCGGGATCAAATTAAAGATACCACAATGTACACTATTCAATTCAATTACAATTCTATAACCAATTATCCTACATTTTAGTAAGGATCACATAATTGAAAGGAGCTATTATGATTTTATGTACATTGGTTTTCCTCTGATCACAATCGTTTAATGTTTGCATTTATACATTAAATTAGATTTTAAATAAAATATGTTTAAAAACCACGCTATTGATTTTATATGTAGTTATTATCATATTTCCATGAGAAAATTATTTGTAAATAAAGATAAAGAAAATTGAATCTTATAGAAAGTTTGAATTTCCATTAAATGCATAAGGTTTAAAATATACCTCAACAAGAGTTACGACTAATACAATAGTTCACAGTAAATATTATACCATTCAGTTTTCAATGTTCTAAAATTAATGATGGCATATCTTCAAATTTAAAACAATTACGATTCGAAATAAAATTGTATTTCATTTTCCATGAATAAAGATTATTTTATCTTTTGAATTTAAATTAAGAATATATTTTTTTCATAAGATCACTGATTTCTCCATGTTGAAAAAGGAAAAAATTGTTGAAAATACGAGGAAAATAAAAATCTTTCTCGTTTTATTAAAAGTCTGCTGAAAATATATGAGGCTAAAAGACAAAAGTCCATCATATTTATACTTTTATAATAATGTGAAATGTGAATACACACCGTAATATTAATCTTTTGAAATTTACACAACAATTAAGTTTTTACTGAAATGTATCATTCAACACAAATATTATTTATATTTATGTTCGGAAAATATGTACGTTTTATAATAATATATTATATCTTATTTATTTTACTTAAGAACTATTCCCATACCTACTATAAAATATATGGTATCGTGTTAAGTTGTAACCATTTTATTTTAAAAATGTTAAATTTATTTTAATTATTTATTATTAATTTGTAATTACTCACAATTTATAGCAATCCTATTAAAATGTATCATAAAAAAACAGTTTTATATCCAATGTTCTATATTGTTATATATACCAGAATTACTATATAAACATTTTTTTTTTTTAAATTATTCGTCCAATTATTTTAAGTTAAATAAAATAAGATACAATTTAAAGAAACAAGTTTTAACTGGTTTAAAATTGTGATTAACATTTTGCAGAATATAGCCTATAAAACTATAAAACTGACATTTATATTTTATTCATATAATTACAAAGACGTTCAATTTGAATGATGTATACTATTGAAAATCGCACAGAACTAGATACAAATAATAAAATTATACCTCAATAAGATTATGATGCATTATATAACTTGACTTCTGTAAGTTAAATTCGCCTAGATTATTAATTTTTAGGAAACTCGAACAGGTTAAGCAATCTATTAAATATTTATGGGACCTCCCAAAATTCAACGTGAAATATATTCTAACTTCGTTCTTATGGTCATAAAAAATCAGTTACTTACAAAACATTGTAAAACTAAACACAATTGATTTATTCGTGAAAAAAAGGGCATTTTAATAAAATAATTAAAAATATGTCTTTAACATAAATATGCCACTATATTGCCTATACGATACGCCGTGTAACATTTTAATACGGCTTTTAACTCATTGTGGTGCTGAATAAAAAAAAACCCATTCAATAATTTCATTGTTTTTTGAAAGATATGATAGGTATTTGATTTTAAAATATTAAAATATTTTTAAAAAAATTGTATTGCTTTGTTTTTTTTTTTTTTGGGGGGGGGGGAGAATAAATATAGTTAATCCATGTGAACGAATTAATTTTTTATATTCTGATATCTATCGTGGAAATCAAAATAAAATTGTTAGATATATATAAATCATTGTAAATTAATGAAAATTATAAAAATTTCTAAGTATTTATTGAGGTATAATTATTTTCATTTATGACAAATAAGTTTAAAAAAACACGTGAATATAATAAAGATACCCTATTGTTGAACAAATATAACGGTTGAAATATTGTCGACTTTATTTTATTTATATCGTATTCAATTAACGCACCCAAAAGACTTTTTTGATTCGAAAGTGAAAAGGATAAAGGTACAAAAAATAAAATATAAATAAAAATGAGAAAAAATAAATCGAAACAAAACCAACTGCAAGCACAAAGCCATATTGCTGGTAGTGGCTGTGGTGGCGGCGTTGGTGGAATCCAGTTTTGTAAGTAATCGGATAAAAAGTCCGTCGCGGTTTTATACATATTATATATATAATATAAATAAAAATCGAATTATACGCGCCACTGAAGGGGTTCTTGAGTGACAAGTTTGTGGGAGAAAGAAAAGTAAACGTTTGCCCGGTGGTTTTGGGATGGCGGTGTGTCGGGGAAGTAGAAAAAGGAAAAAAAAGTCGCCAAAGTCGATTTATCAGTTTGATACCGCCACCGTTGCTACGCTGGAGGGTTTATCATTATACACTCGCAACGAAACTTTTCCTCCACCCCTTGACACACAGACACACACACACACACCCTTCTCCACAGCGATGTGGTCTCTTCTAAAACAGCGTTGGGGGGCGATTACTATGCGGAGAGAGCGACAAAAGATTTAATGAATCATGAAGTTGGAAAAAAAGATATATAAACGGTTTCAATGGACCGTACGCACTTACACTATTCCGTCGGCGTTGAAGAGTAATAGCGGATTACAAAGTTGACTATTCCTCTCTCCGTCTTCATCGTATTCTATCCATATCTATAACTGTATATTGTATGTATATTGTATATACAAAATCAAGCTCCCTCCAGCTGTCCTTAAAGTAGCCGTTTTTGAAAAATTGAGTTCGCCTAACACGTGATACAGTGTCCAAACTAGGTATTCAGAGTGAAGCAATAAATATTTATCGAGTACACCTAATATGCATTTAGCATTAATGCTTTTTATAAGTTTTTTTAGTTTTTTCTTATCTCTTTCCATGAATACATTATTGGTCATTACGAGTAGTGGAAATATTTCGTTATTTAGACCCTTTAGGGATTGAAAATTGAGTCTGCAGTCGATGCAATTTTTCAATTTGTTCGATAGTTTCTCTGAAGTAAGGAGAAAAAATACTTTCGACCATTGACGACTTTTATAGAAATGTCAAGAAGCAAAGTTTTTCCTATAGATTCATTCGTAATCATTGTTTGGATGCGACAATTGCTTTTAAATTAAATATCTCGACACTCGCGGAAATATCCTACGGTCAAGTCACTCACGAATATCATATCAGTACTACAACTTTGCTTTATTTTTGTTCTTGGATTTGACGTTACTTTTTTCGTTAAAAAAAAAATCAATTTCATTTCTTTCAGTTCCTCCGGACATATTGGACTATCCGACGAGCACGGACATGAACGTCCGCGAAGGCAGCAACGTGTCGCTGAGATGTGCGGCTTCGGGATCACCTGCGCCCAATATCACGTGGCGTAAAGAAGGATCTGAGCTCATACTTCTGGAACACAGCCAACACGGTCTGTATCAATAATCTATGTATATAAACCTATATCATTTGTATAGCCATCTATTAAATAATAATAATAATACGTAATATTGTGCTTATGCATATGATAATGATGGTTCGATATAATACGCGGTATGCAACTATGTTTGTACAATATACATAATACCTACATTATAGGTACTTACCTATATAGAATGTTTAAAATCGTCGTAGTTAGCTCTCACAAACATCGTATATTATATAGATAATTGTTTATCATTATATGGTAAATGATTATGATTATAATGTATGGTTTAAGAGTACACGTTCATTGGAATACCTAGCGGATGCCAAAACGCTCTTAACTATTAACTAGTTTACTAAGTATTTATTGATATTGTGTGTCTTCGGGGTGATGTATGGTATAATATGACAAAGTACACAGCGTTCTACGTAAAATACTTCGTGTCATTTTCGGTAACACGTGATTAATATTTTACGCAATTCATATTTTTCCATATCTACCTATTTTCATGAGAACAATAATTTTTATTCAAATTAACAACAATACAGTGTATCAACAATATAATGTCATTCGATAAATCAAAAATCACATTCATTTTTATTTTGTATTTATTTATTGTTTTAATAATGAAATTGTTATCAAAAACATATTAACACAATACATTTGTATTTTTTGAGTGATCAATATAAATGTTAAATAATTTTATTAATATTTCCAAATTTCAAACACGAAAATTACGTAAATAATGAAATTATGTAATTAGGAAACGAAAGTTTAAATGTGCTTAACAGGTTTCAATTTGAATATATAATTAAAGTTCTTCATTTGTATCAAAAAATAGGCTATTTTATTCTCCCGACAGTTCAAACATAATCAAGTATAATGTACTTCAAAGAAGGGAGATGAACTAAAGAAAACGATTCGTTTAGCTCACATCTGCCAAATTTAGAAATACTCGAGAGGTATACCTTGACTTTTATGTTTTTTAGACATGATTACTTTTCCATCAAGTAATGCTAGTCAGAGTATTTTTCCAGTACTATTTCAAATTTACTGTTGACGAAATAAATGAACAAACAATTTATACATTTATATCATTCAATTTTCATAAAAAAAAAAATTAGGCAGTATATTAGTTATTACTAAAGCTTATTGTTACAATAAAATCACACATTCCAAAAGACATCAGAAACATATTATAACTGTATAACAATTTCTTTCTTTTTATATTGTGCTGCAAAGAAGTGTAAACAATAATCTAATGGATGATCAAAAATAATTGCTTTTAGATAAATGTCAGCTTAGTGTTCTTACAACTAAGAAGTATTTTGTAAATTTCTAATTTGTTACAAAACTTAATAGTGTTTTTTTTTTTTTGACAAATTTAAGCTTTGTTCATGTAGGAACAATTATAATCATACGAAATTGGAATAATATTAACTGAGCTAAAAATAATCTCATGTTTAAAAAATGTATTTGGGCAAATAAAATTCAAGCATCTGTTAAGAGTATAATGCAAAATTCGTGTAGTGAGTATACTATAATTACAATTTAAGACCAACACAAACAATGGTATCCATCCACATTCCAACTGCCCATCAATCTGATCGACCGACCCACATAATAATTGTTGATCCGATGACCCGTGAATCTATTCATTGAACTTACATATTTACTCATGATTATAATTCATTACTAATGCAGATTGTTTGGTATAATTACTGTGTTCGATGATGTAAGTATAGGCTTGGCATTAATAACTAGTTAGTCTACAGTTTGTGGTCCTATTGTCGTAGAACACAGGCTAACCTTTTCTATACTTGACTTCACACAAAGTATTAAAACGGGTACTCATCAATTTATAGCTACGGTGGTCTAATCTTTAAGGGCACTTTAAGCATAACTAATTGCCATTTATACTCAGAATTCAAAACGTGTACCGATAACTTATTAATTAATCTACCTGCAATCATATTATAGTACCTAATTGTTTGTTTTTAATAATTCATTTGTCAGTATACCTAGTATAATATAAAAATAGTAGAAACTATTTTAAGAATAATTTTTCCAAATTTAATAGAAATGTGCAATCACATTTAATGTATATCAATATGTTAATAAAGCATACAAATAATTGTTAATCATCTATAAATGGACAGTCAAATTTTCTTAATGTATTACAATAATATATTTTTAACTAAAGAATTCCAGACAGGATCATTAATATGGTATGTATTGTAACAAAATAGTCCTACCTACGTTAAGTGTTCGATCAATAATTTTACTATTAGAATATTATACAGAAAATATTAAATTTAGAAATTGATGTAACAGTTATTTTAGAACAATATTTTTTTTTTTAATAAAATATTAGGTACGGTTAATTTATTAGACTATGTACATCGATGTAGGAAAATAAAATAAAAAAAACTTATTTTTAAATATTTAAAATCAATAAATAATAACTGTACAATATTGTACCCAGTTTAAAGTTTAAATGAATTTTTTGAACCATAAAATAATTATTAATTCATCATTTATGTAAATATCAACATTATTTAGCAACGTTAACGAAACAATTAATCCATCTTTACTTAGTTTGATAGTTCTATGACATAAATATTTGAAGAGCCTTCAGAATTTGTCAAACATTTTACTTCATCAGCAACAATAATGATAGTTTGCACGAACACTCATATTTCTCAACACTAAATCAACTGTCTAATGCACGATGTACTAGAATATAGTGAAAAGTAATTAAAATCAAATAGATACGCATATAAACACAAGAAAGCGTGACTAGTACACAAAACTTGTACATCAAATTAACGGCTAAACAAGTTATGTTTACATTTTACATAGCGTCAAGACTTTGCTGAGTGTTTGAATTTGTGTCCGTATGTTTTTATTGGTTGTTTGTTTTTGTAATATACGAGTAAACACTTATTGTTTTAGAATAGATTTAAAAAGAATTGATCAACTGGAGTAAAAATTTAAAAATCGTAATTTAAAAATAAAATCTTTTACTGAAAGACTGCAAAAGTGCAAATCAAACATTTTTGCTAAGAATATGATGGATGCATAAGTCTTTTTATGGTGAGTTATATATGTATTTAATTTTGGGTTGCATGACTTTATATCTATTTGATTTGGATCAGAAAATGTTAAACAATGGTGTATTTTATTTAATACTATTATCACAATCTGGAATTCATCTTTATCTCCGGCTTTATCTATCCTGTAATATATCAAATTTTAAGCTTTACATATATGTACAAACGCTGAAATCACGACACTGATAGTAGTTATACAATTGATACTCCTCAGTTAAAGTACTAAAATAGTGAAGAATAGCAACAATGATTATTAACTATTAAAACAATGTTATGTTTGATAGTTTTCTTGAATACTAAAAGCATTCGCCAAAATAATAATACTTAAAAGACAGTTTAATAGCAGTGTTGTGGATAAATGATTATTACTGGACAACTATCATTGTAACAACGGTGCATGTTAAATTGCATTTCGTGTACGTATTAAACTAACAACCACACTGAAGTAGAGGATACACCACTTAAGATGAAAATAATAAAAGTTAAAATTATTCAGTTTGTCTAAATTTGGCAATGATATATCATAAAGTAAAGTCGTGTAAACTTTAGATATGCGTGAACAATATAATAAGTACCTATAGAATCGTTATCAAATTCAGCAAAATATGCCAAACGGTAATAATAAATATATATATTATATATATAAATAATATTTAACATTTTTGCATTTTATCATCTAGTCGAGGTATAAATATTATATATCCTATGACACTGTTATGGATATTAAATATAATATTATTATTTAATTTTCCATTTATTCATGACTTTCGAATACCCGGAATACCCATTGTGATTCCAATGACTAAAAACGTTCGCAGTTATTACTATTGTTAGTAATGGTTGGCACATAGCTTACTTTTTGAAAATGAGTTGACCACGTGATCGGAAATGATGCACATTGATATTATTTGAAAACATAATTTAATTGAACATTTGTAATCGTTCAAAAGGTTTCAAAGTGAAAGTTCACGGAAATCAAATACAATGAGTTAGGTACCTATTCAGAAAAATTACACACTCTTAGTTATACATATTATAATTTGATAGTTAAACTAGAATTAATAAATTGGTGAAGGGTGATAATCAATAGCTCAACCAGTGACGGTTAGTGACAGCATATTTTTAATATAACTTTTAATAAACATATATATTTAAAGTTATATTATAAGCTTGAAGGCAATTACTTAAAAACAATATTGTTATGTATACACGAATTGAAATAAATTTATAAATGTATGAATTATATCTATATTCTATACACATCGTGTAGCATGTTATCATTTTAAAAGGGACACAACAATTCTAACCAAAATTATTATTTTAAACTCTTACTTGACATTTTGAATTACATTTAAAAACTGGAAAGCTGTCTAGTGAAAATTGAATTCCGCCTACCTTAAGTCTTCTCGTATTCTGTGCTATAACAATAACAACGAAGCGATATTTTCTTGTAACACCATATTGTTACACTGCAAGAAACATATATTATATAATGTATTCAAGTTTAATAATAATAAAAAAAAAAAAGTTAAAAAGGAGAAGTTTGTTTAGGAAGAAGTTTGTTAAATAATGACTGTACAGCATTACATCATGTGTTCACATTTAATAGATATAAACTAGACGTCTTACTACCGGTAAATGTTTTATCGGATATAGATTTCGGAATTGTTTTTAAAATAAATTACGCTGTAACAGCGATGATCATATACGTACGATATACAGGAATACTCGAGTCGATTAAACTCATTGCCGAACATTCAAAATCCCTGGGTATTTTGTTTCTGCAGTGTTTTTTTACGATAAGCACTCTTTGGCGTCCGTCTTAGGTAAGGAATCAATCAAAGGAGATGAAATCGTTGATTCTTTTCAGTCACATACCGTTTCAATATATAT